AACGTGATTGAGCCATGCGAACGAGCTCACATATGAAGTTAAACGGGGCAAAGCCCGCGGGTACAGCTAGTCTTGAATAAAAACATACTGCTGAAACGTCACTGACTAATACGCCTAGTAAGCTACCTAAGGCATCTGACTCAACACCCACTCAAATTCAATTCGTATTTAGGTTAAATTCACTATGTATTCCTCATCTGATAGTGATAATCCCTTAAGGTCCACCAATCTTTGTTTTTTGTGGACCTAGCACCCGCGTCCAAAACCCCGAGATATAGCAATATAACATAGCTAAAATCCATCGACGATTGGTACGATTGAACTCCGCCCTCCTCGACACTTTCGTGCTATAACCACTGTACAAAAGTTATAAAGTACTATTCTGGCATGTCGCTACTTCTGCGTGTTATACACTTAATACTTCACACTCACTGACTTGAGTCAAGATAGTCGGTGGAAAGTATCTTTGTGCTTCACAATCGTATCTTGAACACATCTGACACATGTGGGAGCGTGGAAGCGTTCCTCTGCTGAATGTTGAGGAATTCTTTCTCTTGGGCTATGATTAAAGTGTCACAATTTGGTTTTGCTAACCAAGCCGCTAGGCTTTACTCTCAGCTGTATTCGTATATTATATCTTAGACAAAATGAATTAAATATAGACCGTAGCCGTAAGTACATGGCGCTCCCAGCGGGTGCGCCAAAACCTATGGTAACCATGGTAAATTCTTTTTGTCTATCTATATATATATATATATAATCCAATGTATGTTTGTTTGTATGTTTGTTTGTTTGTTTGTTTGTTTGTTTGTCCTTTATGGACTCCGAAACCGCTCGACATATTGTAATGAAACTTTCAGGTATTATTAAGCATTATTCAAGAGTGGTTTGTGTGAAGTTTGGTGCAGATCCGTCAAAAGGGCTCCGCCCCAGTGGCTCTGGAGTTTCCCATGTTAACCTTATGAGTACTCATATTTAAATGAAATTAAAGAATCTTAACAGCTGGTTCAACTAAACAATTTGATTCTGTGATGTTCAATAGCATTAAAAAGTTAATAGCTTTACCAACAGGGTGCAGCACTATTTTTTCTTTTACATTTATGACAACAGCTAATTTGCAACCAAAAGGGGAGTGAGCGTAGCGAACGAACTTTAACCTGGAGGTGAGTTAGCGTAACGAACGAGCTAACCTGAAGGCAAGTGAGCGCAGCGAACGAGCTCCAACCTAAAGGTGAGTGAGCGTAGTGAACGAACTTCAACCAGGATGTGATTGAGCCATACGAACGAGCTCATCTTGAAAATGATCGAGCATTTGACATAAAACTACATTAGGACAGGACGACGTCTGTCGGGCCAGCTAGTGATTATATACAAGTGAAATGTGCGATGAATAAGTTTTGGATTTGAAACAATTCACCACTCATCGTGTACTACTTATTTAGAAATGTGTTAATTTAATTACATCAACATACAAATCTTCATTCTTTTACCCAAAGCAACAAAGTAAAATAGATCATAATATGTACTGTATGTGAAAAATAAATGTCTACATCACGGTAATGGTTTTATAGTGAAAAATACTATTTGAATTAGATACAAATGTACGTAATAACAGTTGATTTAAATATGTTACCACTAATAAAAAAACAACAACTTTGTTTTTGCAACATAAATGTCATTGAAACTTTAAATGTTAGGTTAGGTTCAAATAGTTAACGATGTTCAACCCGTAAATCGTTCCTTAATAAACGAATCTATGACCAACCCGAAGCGAAAATTGTTCTTCAACCACATAACAATTAAGAGTGTATTTCAACTCGAACGCCGATACACCGATCTACCGACGCATCGTGGACTCAATGCAAGATAAATGACTGTTTAGAACTACCGAGTACCTATAATGACCAGGGAACAAATGATGGTAGTTAGTGTTAATGACTGCGAACCGAACCAATCACTATAGACATGAAACATATTGACTCGTAGATTGTAGACTTTAGACTGTAGATCAACGTTGTCTTTTGTCTAGGGTTGTAGATGAAAATGGGAAACTTTTTACGACTGGGACAGTGCCATCGTCCTGTAATCCACCTGATTGGAGGTCACAAGTTGTGGATATTTATAGGCATGCGCTCTGGATGCGATACTCCCTGTTGTGGATTAACGTCCGCACTAGTATTTACTACGACTATTTGCAGTACTGTCCTGAAAAATTAGACAAATTAGTATAAATTACAAGACAATTTGTGGTTCAGATTTCACTATGAACTGTAGGTCCCTTAGTTTCCATCGGCTGTAGTGGCTGACTTTCACTATTAATAGTCAATGGTATTAATTATCCGTCCTGTCTAAGGGACTTGTCGGCCTTAGTCACTAACAAGACTACAAGAGCGCATCACTCATCCTACACTCATTTCCATTCATACTTGGTTTAAAATACCTATCTTCGTTTGGTCGCCATTTTATATTATATTGCTAGAATGTTATAGGAGATTACCGGGGCTGTTTGTAGCTATCTGTTTGTAGCTAATTTATGGTGGAAATATTTTAGTGGACCTAGGGTGAATGGGTTTTCGGAAGATCAATTCAAATTAATTGCCAATTATATTATTGTAACAATGATTGGAAATTCGTAAATAAAATTAACATCCGGAACCTCATAAGACATTCGAGTACTAAAATATAGCATGTACCTAATAAGTCGATCACGTTTTATACCTAAACTAAAATTGACCTAACAAAAGGAGAGCCTAATTAATAACGATAATCGTCACAGAATTATTTTATATTCTCAGCAGTTTTGACGTCGGGACATTTATGACGATTAACTTTGTTGCTTGTATCATTAATTTCATGGTAATTAAAAATCCCCATTTTCTTTCAACTGGATGTTTGGAATATTTTGAATTCCTTGTTATTCGGAAAGCTATGTAAAGTTAGCTATTTTAGTACGATATACGTATACTTATTATTTCTCAATACACGATGCGTATTATTTCGGGTTCCTAACTATTACCTTTGACCAACCAATAGTTAATGGTATTGCATTTTAACGTTGGGTTTACCAAAAATATCATCTGAATCATAAACAGGGGGGAATCCACAAACAGGGCACAGATATTCGAGTATCAACTACTAAACTACTAGATAAAATATTGTATGGATGAATTTTAATTTTCATCCATAACATTTTATATTATCTTGCACAGTTTCATATATTATATCTAAGGAAAATAACGCCATTTTAAAGAAGCTAGCAATTCCTAACAAAATAAGTTCAGAGCCTTTTTCAAATTTTACATGTCAAAACTTAGTATAGATTATGCCAGTACATAGTGTGTTGTGAAATTTTAAAGCCTATTTTATTTAAATTTGAATTTCCCGCCCTTAGCGCCACCTGCGGTGGCCGAGGTCGGCAGTGCTTATCTGTCCGTTGGGTTTTAAAATCATATCATTGTACTAGTGGGGGTGCTGGCGACAAGTTTGGATGGCTCCTGTGATAATGTAAGTGTTACATTTATTTAGTTTAAGGATTTTTATATTCATGTTTAAAATGCTTTTCAGGTGCTACAATTTAGTTGAAAAACATAATTAACCAATGTGTACAAGTCTTTATTTACTGTAAAATTTCGTTCGCCACGTGTGGTCAGTTAGCCTGTTGGAATTTGCAATTTCTTGTAACTTAAATAGTAAAACTTCAGAAGTGATTTGAAAGCTCTGTAATTTTAAAGATGAGAATTATATAATTTTAATATTAGGTTCTGGACAAATACTTTTTTTAATTTCAATTTATAGTAACTGAACTCAATGATTGATTTTTGTATTGAACACTTCATAAGAAATCCAAATCAATGTTTTATCTCTTTCATAATTCTTCCCACAGGAGTATTGTAATATTAATTTATTTTAATTTAAGCTTGTGAATGGTTTTGCAGACGGGAGTCGAATTGTACCTAGCTAAATCTAAGCTAAACATGGCCCAGCCAACCCCTGCTGTATAGAGTAATGTACCAGTCTATATATTATTGGGTACTACTAATAATGGGTATTTCTAGTATATGTGCAAAGGTTTATTTGATTTTTAAAAAGTAATAAATTGCTGATCTATAATTTGCTGAGTCATTATTAATTGACTCCCCTCGTTCACTGGTCAACTTGGCGACCCTCTTGGCTGATCCACAAGCTAAAGGAAGTGGATCTAAATTCACACCATAATTATATTCAATTGGCCACCCTGGAATATAATTAATTTGCGCCACTCTGCTACACTTCCTGAGCTTTAAGATAACCAAGACATTGAACGAGGTCACTTAGGCTACTCCGAGAATTTCATTTGAACTTTTATGAACTATGAAAATCCAGCGTGGTGTTGTGTGATTATTAAGTTAAGAACTGTAATTACAATACTCATAAAGGGATGATAAAGGACATGTTGGTATAAGTATATTGTAATAAGATTTTGAGGGTATTTTATCATTACGATCTTAAACCGGTTTATTAAATAGGCTGAATTTAAATAGTTCAAGTAAACAACGGTGAAATCGAACAGCTAGGTGCTAAACAAAAAGGTTTAAATTAGCTTAAAGAATTCTAATGTGTTGATCCGAATTTTGAAACTAATAGGTAGGGTTCACTAAATCCTTCCTTTCCTCACCTTTATCAGCACTTATCCTATTATCAAGATGGCGAACTACAATGTCAATTATCTTCAAAAGGGCGAGTTGATTTATGAAATAATGTGCAGAGAGCTAGACTGTCAACATGAGGTTTTAAATAAATTAAGTGTAGATGAACTCAGAAAATCCTTGCGTAAAATCATTGGGCAGGCACCTAATTTTTCAAACATTGAAAATAAATTGACTGTTTTGGCGGAGATTAAATATTGCCAAATTGCGTCAAGCGTATTGCAAGTGCTAATCGATCGACAGTCTGAAGAGCCTACGGCGCTGAATTTAGCTAAGATAAATGCAAAGCTAGCGCATTTAGAGCTAAGAGCAAACATGCTAAAACGAAGTATACTGTTAGAAACCGACCGCAAAACCGTTGAAGAGTTAGACAAAACCATGGTTAGTCTTAGTAATAAACTGTCAGAAATCGAGAATAAAATCGCTCCGGACGAATACCAACGTTTTCAAGAAGAATTAAATAAATCGTTAATCGAGAGTGAGTCAGCCGATGAGGAAATAAACGGCGTATCAACCGGGCAGCTTATCACCTCTTCACCTAGTAATCAGCTGAGATTAGGGAACCACGACACGGCACACGTCCCACCTCAAGGTCACTGTACGCCCCCGCACCCCGCGGACCCTGTTCGTCCCGCTCCTGCACCGCTGCCACCGGTCGACTTGTTCCAGAAACTAGCAAACCCATTGGAAAAAATTTTGTCAAAATTTCCAGAGAATTGTACTGGTATGGAGATAACCCCGTTACTAAACTTTCTGAGACAGACAGTAATTTTACAACAGGAATCGCGCCTACCCGAAGATCAGATATTTAGAATAATTAGCAGGTACGCTATTTCTCCGCTCATTGGAACAATAATAGAATGCCAAAACGGCGGGAAAAGTATCATACAAACACGCAGAGAAATATTAAATTCATTTATTCCAGCAGCTTTGGGAGAGCAACTTAAATACGAGTACATTCATCGTCCCCAACGCTACGATGAGAGTTTATCACTGTACTGTGAGGAAATTAAATTAAATAACCAAGTATTCATGGCCAACCTAACGGAGAAACAATTGCTTGACTCTATTAGAAATGGATTGAACCCGGACACCCGCAACAAGATAGCTGTATATAAATTCCCCGAAACAATGAATGAATTGAAACTTATTGTGGTGCAAATGAACAATTTGGTCTATAATGATTATTTGAGAAACAAAGCGTGCGCCAACGTAGTCCCTATGAGACCGGTATTAACCGCGGCCATGCCTGTTTCGCAGCCTGTTGGATTGCCTGCAAATCACGTAAATGAGCAAAATGTGTACCATCACTCAAACTTCCACAGTCGCCAACCAAGCGATGTAAAGAGATGTTTTATTTGTAACAGACCAGGCCATTTAGCCCGGCATTGCTATCGTGGTTCAAAAAACTAGTAGACGCGGGAAAATTTGCCATTAAGTCACAGCACCACTTTAAGGTAAATGTTCCCGCCAATACAAACAACCAACAAACTTATTGCCCAGTTAATCGCAATAATGAGTTTACTACACATAGTAAGGGTTTTAAGAAGGAGTTCCGGAAAATAACAAAACAATGGAATAGTTTAAATAGGAAGAATTGTATGCCGACAAAGGGCCGAACGGTATCAAATTTGCCGTGCTTAAATGTGATTATCAATGAGAATATAACTATTCCAGCATTAATTGATAGTGGTGCTTCCTACAACATTTTAAGTTTAGAATTATTCGAGCAATTATTGAAGAGTAAACATGCAATTAAATGTAAACAAAGCATACCTAGTCATTTAATGGCGGCAAATGAAACTCCTATAAATGTAATAAATGCATGCAACTTAAGGATTAAAATTGGAAAATTTACATGGTGGGAGAAATTTTTAGTCATTGAGTCAAATCGATACAAAATAATTTTAGGAATGCCTTTCCTACAGCACAAGGGGCTTTGTATTGATTTCCAGAGTAACACCTGTCATTTCAAATTTGAACCAGGATATTTAATTGAATTAAATGTGGACGACCAGATCGATCTAGGATTAAATGCGATAAGAATAGGATGCATAGAAATGCAAGACGAAACCGAAAAGTTTATTGCCGAATATCCATCGGTATTCACAGATCAAATCGGCGAAGCGCTCGACCTTGAGATAAAGCTAGAGGTCACTGACCCCACTCCAGTTTCTATACGGCCCTATAACTTAAGTCCTCCGGCCATAGCTAAAATGAAGGTAATCATTGATGAATGGTTAAAACAAGGAATTATTGAACATAGCACGTCTCCTTATCAAAGTCCTGCATTTTTAACCAAGCGTGACCGTCTCGTTGTAAATTACGCTCAAGTTAACCAGCGTATAAAGAATATTTCTTATCCACTGGGTGATATTGAAAACATGTATCAGCATCTGCAAGGGGCGAATTATTTTTCCATATTCGACCTTAATAAGGCTTTTTTGCAGTGCCCATTAAATGAGGAGAGTAGGGATTTAACCTCATTTGTATGTGCGGTGGGAAAGTTCCGTTTTCGCAGAGTATGTTTTGGTCTAAAGGTCGGAAGTTCCATATTGAGTAACTACATGGATAAGATATTTTATCACCTGAAATATAAGCACCTATTGATATATTGTGACGACCTTCTAATTTTTAGTAAAACTAAAGAAGAGCATCTAAGACATCTACACGAAGTCGCTAGTATTTTAGCGGCGAACAAGTTGACAGTTAACCCGGACAAAGCCAGATTCTTTTGCACTGAGATCAGTTTTTTGGGCCATTTAATTAGCCATAATTCTATAACTATAGATCCAGAGCGCACTGTGGCAATCAAGAATTTCCCGGTCCCTCGCACAGTAAAGCAAGTGAGACAATTCACGGGCATGTGTGGTTATTGGCGGAAATATATTGAGAATTATGCCGATATTAGTCGACCTCTCCATGCGCTCAAACGAAAGAATACAAAATTCTTATGGACAGCAGAATGTCAAGGTGCCTATGAGACTCTTAAAGAGAAAATAGCAAATCCCCCAATATTAACTATGGCTGACTTTAACAAACCGTTCGTAGTACATACGGACGCGAGCGCCACAGGTGCCGGAGCGGCTCTCCTACAGTATAATGAGTCTGGTGATCTGATGCCGATTGCTTTTTATAGTAAATCGTTCACCGAGAACGAACTGCGTTATTCCATCTACGAGAAGGAAGCGTATACAGCGGTATTGGCTATGGAGAAATGGAACGCCTACTTATCACCTCAACCCTTCACCTTAGTGACGGACAACCAGGCGTTAAGTTACGTGTTAAACACTAAGAACAAATTAGGACGCCTTTCCAGATGGGTAGAACGACTACTAGCACTTCCATTCAACGTAGTTCATAAACCTGGGACAGAGAATGTTATAGCGGACGCCCTATCAAGACTCTACGAGCTACCAGAGGAAACTTCGGAGAGTAACACAATCAACGTATCTGGAAATAACACAGTTACTTATGGCAGTGAAAGCGCGCCTAACCCGGTAGAACAGCTGAATATGTTAATTAACGAGCTCAGAGAACACCCTGTACAACACCATGGAGGAGTGAACTTTATCAGCGAGATACCTATGGCTATGAAGGACCTGAAATACCATCAACGTCAAGATAAGGAATGCAAGAGGATCATGAAGAGTATAAACGACGGTACCAATCAATTAAACTACGTTATGAAGAACGAACTATTGATGTATAAAGGATCTAAGGGAGGAAACAAGATTTATTTACCCGAGAGGTTAATAAACGTTGCATATACATTCTTTCATGATGGATTAAATGGAGGACACCTTGGAATCGCACGGACGGTGGCAAAAATCGAACAGTATTTTTATCGGCCAGACATGGAGCGTATTATTAGGGGTAAAATTAAAGAATGTCGCATATGTATGATGTCTAAACCTGCCCAAAGAAAATATGAAGGAAAGTTAGTATCGAGACCAGTCACATCTGCTTTTGAAACATTATTTTGTGACATTTTAGGCCCACTTCCACGCACGACTCGAGGAAATAAATATATATTTGTTGTGTTAGATGCATTCACTCGATTCTCCTGGACATTCGCTTTGAAGGAAGTGAATAGCAAAGCTATAATAGCTAAGTTGGATCAAATTTTTGGATTATTTTCAGTACCACGCACTTTAGTATCTGATAATGCCACTTACTTCACTTCGCAACAGTTTAAAGCCTACCTGTTCAAAAATTATGTAACACATCACCTGATTGCCCTGTACAGACCCTCAGCTAATCGTGTGGAACGACAGTTAAGAGATCTAGGCACATTGCTTAAGTGTTATTATGCCAATGAGCAATCTAACTGGGACGCTGAATTGCAGTTCATACAGATGACTTTAAATACAGCGAAAAATTCGTCCACTGGTTTCAGTCCATTTTCGCTCATGTTTTTCCACGAGCCCCGTAACGCCCTCTCAAACATATGGAACCTGGATGATCTATTGAGTGAGAGCTTAAGTCGTAATGATAAAGTCAAAAATTTAACTCAGGCCTTACGAAATGTTAAGTCTAGCATCGCACGTAGCAACAAACGTGAGAAATATTCGGAGAAACGCATCCGACATCTATTCAAAGTGAATTCTATAGTATTTTGGAAAACGCACTACTTAAGTAAAAAGATAAACAAATTCAGTAAGAAACTAGCCCCAAGATATGATGGTCCCTGGCGCATTGTCTGGTTTGTAAGCCCCAATACAACCATAATTCAACGATGCGATAACGTCCTAGACGTGAGGAAAGTTCACATATCTGAACTCAAACTGTATGTGTGATAAGGTACAAAGTATGTGCCTCCAAATACTGTCGGACACGAAGTTTAGTCGAAACCTATTGTAAATAAACATTTATAAATTGTAAATAGTAGATTAGGAAATGTTTAGGCTAAGAAACTGAGATCATGAAGAACAGTGTACATATTATTTGTATTAGCAAAATATAACCACTATGGATACATTGAAGTGAATAACCAATTCGCATATAAATGTGTAATTAAGGAATAATGAAGGAGATTATATGAAGATAAGCAGTTCGGAGGAGCAGAAGGATTAATGAGCATAAAATTATGTGCTAAAATAAGGTTCAGAATGTTTATTTACGTTGGTGAACAAAGATAAGGTGATAAAGTAGATAACAAGAATTGGTGATAATAGCAACGCCTATTTATATGAATATTTATAAAAAAGGGCACCGCAAACTAAAGTTATTTCAGTATAAACTGCAATTAGTATAACAGTCGTTAGATCACAAATGGGACTGGATACATTGCACGGCTGAGCGTGTAAATAGTAAACAAAGGAGTACACATTTATTTTAATGCTGAGAAGGCAAGTAGGTTATTCAATTATTGAGAATGATTAGCAAAGGTGACATTTATTAAATAGCAAGATCTAAGGCAGTTACGAAATATTTCGTTATTACATGGATTATAACATAAAAGTACCTATATTGTTGATGAACTACAATGAAGACTGGAAATGAAGATAAACGAAGACGGAATGAAGAATAGATTGAAGAATACGATTCCTTCTTTTCCGTTACCTATTCCTTATTCCTCTCAAAAATAAAATGTTTTTATTTAACGCATTTTAGGGTAAAGATCTGTAATGTTAGTAAATAGTTTTAAATCAGACTGAACATTTCATTTACAATTTTGAATTTGTGCATAAGGTTTTACATAAGGTTCGTTTGAGGATAAACGAAACAGCTGATAACTAGTTGACCGTGATTGTTTGGTAGGATGATTAGGGCACTGATAACGAGAAAGGATTCATACTACTGTCCGTATCTTGTTTGTTTGGAATCATAAACCTGTCTAATGAATTGCAATTCTATATTTTGTGAGTTTATTTATTTTTACTGTCCAGAATAAGAATTAGGGACAAATCATGTTTCAGTTAAGGATTTTTTAATACGGCAGACACAACTGAATATGACCTAAAATAAATAAATAGGTAAAGAAAGGTTTTAGAGTCAAGTTGACTTATTTTATGATAAATCGAATAAATTAAACTCTCGTTAATGATCGAGGATGGATGAATCAGTGAATGCTAGGGATGAAAGTTTGAATGTATGGGATTAGCAAAAGGTTAGCGCGTCTGTGGTACGAATGTTCACACTCATTATCTGTTTTTATTTTGGTTTCACACATCACACTTGGTACTTACGTGGCCCGGGACACACAGGGTACTTCACATTGAACTTAGACACTTGTTATTTTTGCCACTTTATGTACACAAACATTATTATTATGCTCCATTTTGGTTTCGCCTTAAGCGCACTTTTGGGAATATACAGGAAAATGAGAGTTTAATGTTAAGTTTTGTTTGACGTAGGTTTTTATACAATTTCGTGGTTCAGGATTACTAGGTCATATAAAGTTAGTTTAAAGTAAGTTTTGGGTACTAACAGCATGTATTTAGGTTAAGGAATGTAATACTTTGCTCTGAGAGGTTCTAAATGAAAATGTCTGACTTTATTTTACGATCAGTTTGCCGTATTTTTCAGAGTGAAAGTTAAGTTGTCTTATCTTGATTATTGTTGTAACCTGTCATATGTTAGACCGAGCGATTGCAGCGCTCTGTACCCTGGCGGATGGCAACGAAGAAATCTAGAACCATTGCGATTGTTGCCCGCCAAGTAGTTGTAATTCAAACGGACGCTCCTGCGTCGGAAAAATTTGATTTCTTTGAATGAGAAAATGTATAAATTATGTTTGGTTTTATTAGATGAAAATTTGTAATGTTTAGAAGAGCTAAGTGAGTTAATTTTTTTATAGGCTTGTAAAATTTTAAAAAGCAGGGGAAAATTTTATGCCAGTACATAGTGTGTTGTGAAATTTTAAAGCCTATTTTATTTAAATTTGAATTTCCCGCCCTTAGCGCCACCTGCGGTGGCCGAGGTCGGCAGTGCTTATCTGTCCGTTGGGTTTTAAAATCATATCATTGTACTAGTGGGGGTGCTGGCGACAAGTTTGGATGGCTCCTGTGATAATGTAAGTGTTACATTTATTTAGTTTAAGGATTTTTATATTCATGTTTAAAATGCTTTTCAGGTGCTACAATTTAGTTGAAAAACATAATTAACCAATGTGTACAAGTCTTTATTTACTGTAAAATTTCGTTCGCCACGTGTGGTCAGTTAGCCTGTTGGAATTTGCAATTTCTTGTAACTTAAATAGTAAAACTTCAGAAGTGATTTGAAAGCTCTGTAATTTTAAAGATGAGAATTATATAATTTTAATATTAGGTTCTGGACAAATACTTTTTTTAATTTCAATTTATAGTAACTGAACTCAATGATTGATTTTTGTATTGAACACTTCATAAGAAATCCAAATCAATGTTTTATCTCTTTCATAATTCTTCCCACAGGAGTATTGTAATATTAATTTATTTTAATTTAAGCTTGTGAATGGTTTTGCAGACGGGAGTCGAATTGTACCTAGCTAAATCTAAGCTAAACATGGCCCAGCCAACCCCTGCTGTATAGAGTAATGTACCAGTCTATATATTATTGGGTACTACTAATAATGGGTATTTCTAGTATATGTGCAAAGGTTTATTTGATTTTTAAAAAGTAATAAATTGCTGATCTATAATTTGCTGAGTCATTATTAATTGACTCCCCTCGTTCACTGGTCAACTTGGCGACCCTCTTGGCTGATCCACAAGCTAAAGGAAGTGGATCTAAATTCACACCATAATTATATTCAATTGGCCACCCTGGAATAAGATATATCCTTTACATTAACATCTAATCAAGAGAAACACTTTAACGAGATAACGCCATACTTAACGTGAATCACCTTCATCAAATATGGGCCTGCAGATAACTGCCTCGTCTTAGTTCTCCCTCTTAATCAACCAAGCAACAACCCACGGATCAGTTAATACCTACAAATACAAGCTAGGGAAGAGGCAATAAAACTAAGCAGATTCGACTCAGGTTTAATGGCGGAAATGAAGGCTGAAGGACAAGGGAAACCCGACAAAGTCCCTTGCAACAATCGGGGTGACTTACAATTTGTATTGTGTAAATAAAGAGTTACACAGTATGTAGCTTACACAGTGTTATTTACAAATAATACTCCTGCCACATTAAACCTGAAGACTAAGCGAATTTCCATTTGCCTGATTTGATTTTCACTTAAAACTATTTATATGACATCAGGTTTAACGAGTAGGCCTACCTAGGTTTGTTGTTATTACTGGAACTTACGTAGTTATACATTTTATGTTGTCGCCACATAAATTGGAGTTTATGCAATAGTCCATTCCTTTATACGCACATCGTTCATTCGTTCGTCATGATGTTCCAGTCCAGTGATCTGAAACCCCACTGGACTGATGCTGTTTTAGGACTTAGTCCTCTTCAGCCAGTGCGCAAATATCAATCACCGAACAGTGAACGTTGGTTTTTGGTGCCATTGACTTTAGATGCTGAAGTAAACTCCCTCTATGTAACAACAGTGATGATGATTCATCTTAAAGCCAGTATTTTAAAAGAGTTGTTTAGCCTCCTGATTTCTGTATTATATGTGAAATGGTTTACAATACCTGCATATATTCTTAGGTGCTGTAGTGGCAACTATTTTTCTTCTTCAGGCCTACAAGTTGCCAGGTTCAATACAGAGTTCAATAAAGCCCTTTCGTTTGTATTGTGTTTTTTGTAAAAGTATGTACGTATTATGTTTCTGTGTCTCGAGTGTGTTTTATTTATTAATTTCCTTTGACGACCAAATGAAGTGATTGAAGTGATGAGTGATGAAGTGATGAAGTGATGAAGTGATGACATACCTTGTAGGCCTGATACAAGGTTCTATTAAAACCCGAAACTAGTTGCCACTTCCACAACCAAGTATTACTATATGCAGGTATTGTAAACTATTTCCAGTATTTTAAACTCAAACAGAACATTGTTTTATGAGGCTTTAGAAGAGTAAGCTACTATTGAAGTTCACATTATTTATTTTAGTTTTCCATACTGAGAAAAATAGAATAGTGAATCCAATTGGATTTTTCCTTGTTTAAAACACTCCCCTCACTAGGAGGTGATCAATTTTTTACTCGAAAAATTTCTTTTTAAGTTGAAAAGCTTCCTTTTTCCCGATAATTTCAATTTATTACAATTGTTTTAAGATTTTACCAGTTTTTATTAAGATCCAAATAATATTAAAACAAAATTAATGCACACCAACCTGTATTTTCATTAGAAAGTTAAATTAAACAAGACAATATATTGTGATGAGGCCTGTGGAATCTCGAGCTCCGAGTGGCCTTATACAGATCTCATGACTTGATTTGCATATAGATGAAATGTCTTTACACCAAGTGAAGATCTATTGTTCTGCTACAGTCATTTACAACCATTCTGTGATGCTGAGTCTGTTTAATTTTACACTACGAGAAGTACTTCTATTTATTATCAATACTATATTAAAGAATTAGCAAATTAGATTTAACTAGAGACAATACCATAAGGTAATAGTTAATACATGCTATTTCATTTATATGCAATCTACATCGATAATAAGTCATCAGATGAATGATCCTGTGTTGGGAATTGAATAACCCGA